CCCTTTGTGGGATTGATAAGAACTTGCAAAATTGATTTCCTAAATCTCAGGCCTTTAATCTTTGAGCTGGGGAAAGCTTGGGATGAGCCCCCCCCTTTAAAACTAAAAGGCTAAGGGTTTGAGTTTTCAGTTTTCAGCAACCCCCAAACCCAGGTGAACATTAAAGAGGACCCCAAAACAGTCAAACTAAAGGGGGTCTAAGGGAAACATGTCCAGGTTAAGCAGTTGAGGGTGAGAGGAGGAGGCCCTGAGCACAACCAGCTGGTCCCAGCAGAAGAAGGAGCTGAGGCAACACCACCCAAGCCTAAGCAAGCTCAATTTGGCTTGAGCAAGTTCTTTGGCAGCCCTGAACAAAAAGCAGCAGCTAAGCCAGTGGTGCTCAAACCTAAGCTGCCATATGAGAGATACACTCTTTCCAAAGCTCAGCAAGAGGCACGAGCAGCCAAAGAAGCTTATGAGGAAAGGCTGGCTGAGCTTGAAGCTGAGGCTGGCACATGCAACCCAGAGCAGGCAGCTAAGAGGAGAAGGCTGGTGGAAGGTGTTTTGTCAAAGAGACTGCAGGGCCTGCCCAGAAATGACCTGAGAAAGAACCGCAGGCTTGAGCTCTCAGCCAGCAAGAAAAAGTCCATAGCTGAGGACTTGGAGGCTGAGCAGGCCAATTTCACAGATGACAAGAGCTTTTGGAGAGCCATGTGCTTGAAGTATATGCTCCCTAAGAAGGAGCTGGCTCGTCTCCTTGCCCGAAAGGATCGTTGGGCTGAGCTGGCTGCTAAGCCAATTGTGAACAGGAACCAAAGGAACAAGCTCAGGAAAAGACTTCAAGGTGCTGGTAGACAGGTTCCTTACCCTGGCATTGTGAAGCACTTGTCTCAGTGGCTTGCCTTAGAGAGGAGCTTTGGCCACACCGTGCTGCCCCAAGATGTCCTAGCTGAGTTCCTTGCTCAGCTCAACACATCAGCAAACAAAGACTCAGCAAAAGACAAGACAAGAAGCTGTCAGTTCTGCAGCAGCACAAATTTGCTGAGGAGGCTGCTGGAAAAAAGGAGAGGTCTAAGAAGCTCCAGGCCTCAGGCACATACAGAAAGACCTTCAGCAAGAGGCTGCTGAGATGGATGGGTGCTAAGTTCACAACTGCTGAGCTTGTGAGCACCATCTCACCCACTGAGGCTGAGGTGAGGTGCAAGCTGACCTGGCAGGAGTTTGACTACACCCTGTGGCTTGCCTCCCTCAGCCCACTTGAAGAGCTGAGTGCAGCCAAAGTCGTGGTTGACCCTGAGAACTTTGTTGCTGAGAGAAGCACTTGGTGGTGGGGTTCTCAGACCAGATCCCATTGTGGGCTAAGTCTACAGGGAGGAAGGCTGTCTTTGCCAAGGATGCAGGTTAAGGACTTTTTTGAGGTGAGGCTGGCAGTGGCTGAGGCCATGAGGACTGATGAGCCTGCTGAGATGCTTGTGCTGCCAATTGGCTACAGCACCCCAACTAAGAAGAATGCTCTTCAGGATGGCCAAAGCCCTGCTTCCACTCTTGCTCGCTCAGACACTGCAAACTCCCTGGACACCACACTAGCTGTGAAGAGGAAGCTCAGCTTTGACACACCACTGCAGCACTCAGAAAGCAGAGGCTCCTTAGAAGAATGCTTGGAGCAGCAGCTACTTGAGGAGCCCAGCCCAGCAGAAGCTTGAGCCAAAGCCCAGCCCAGAGCAGAAGAGTCCTGAGGAGCTTGAGCCCAGCCCAGAGCAGAAGAGTCCTGAGCCAAAGTGTGAGGCAAAGCCTTTGCCTAAGGCTGGAAGCCTCAGCATCCAAGGCAACTCAGCAGATGACAGGTTCAGGATCACCTCTGAGGCCAGGCAGCTGATCTATGGTTTGTGCAACCCTGATGAGCCACCAAGTGGTGATGTGGGCAAAGGCCTGGTTGTGCCAGGCCAATGGGCAAGGCTGAGCAACATCTCTGAGAAAGGCACTTGGATCAAGACAGAGACCTTTCAAGTTGGTGAGAAGACAATCACCCACTCAGCTGGAACCTCAGCTGGCAGAGCCTTGGAAGGCTTCAGAAAGGTCAGAGCTTCGCACCCCGACCTTGTATCTCAGCTTGAGATCATGAGCCAGCCAGCTTCCAATGTGGACTCAGTCATTCTGTGCTGGTGCATTGAGGCCCAAGCAGCTCAATACCCTTGCTCAGTCTGGCAAAGGGACTGCTTCAGCTCAGTGTTTGCTGAGTCTGCCACCAAAAGCATGGCCTTGGCTCAGCTTGCAGCAAAGTGCACTTCCAAGCTGCAGATCACAGACTCTGACTTTGCCAAGCAGTTCAAGAGCTTAGTCAGGTCCAAGCTTGTGAGCCTCAGGCAAGAGCATCAAGCCCTGAAAACTGCTCAGAAAGAGGCTTGGAAGGTTGGCCCTCTTGAGATAGTCAGGTCTGTGGTGCATGCTCAGTGGCAGATGTCTGAGAAGAACTGCGAAGACCAGTGGGTGCTTGCAGCAGCAGTAGGGAATGGCATCTTAGCATACACACCCAACACTCAGACTGGCAAGCTTGCCATTGTCACTGAGCAGCACTGGGCTAAGAAGGCTGGCTTTCAGATGGGCAGCAAGAGGTTCCCACCTGAGTGGCTCAGAGACAGGCTGAAGTGGGATGGCAAGCCCAAGAAGGCAAACTGGAGCCTGAGCAGGTCAGCATCAGCCATCTCAGACCTCGTGCGGTGGGACTACTACAACCCTGAGGAAGACAAGGAGGCTGAGGTGGATGCTGAGCCAGACATCCAAGATGAGCTTGCACCAGAGCTTGAGCTGAGCTTGCAAAACAGCCTGAGTTTGAGGCTGCATCCTCGCCTGAGAAGGCAGGCCTGGAGAAAGGCTGCTGAGGAGAAAGTAGCTAAGGGGACTGCCTTAGAGAAGAAGAAGAAGAAGGACTGGAGGCAAGGCTGGAGGAGCAAGCTCAGACCCAGCATTGTTGCAGGGCTGAGGTCTAAGCTGCTTGGCAAGTCCAGAGAGGAGGCCTTAGCAGAGCAAGTGCCTGTGGTTCAGAAGAAGGCTAAGGCAAAAGCAGGAGCTAAGAAAGTGAAGCTGGCCTCATTTCTGAAGCCTTCAGCCAAGACAAAGCCATCACTTGCCAACAAGCCTTCTGCTAAGAAGAAGTCTGCTAAGAAGCAAGCCTTGAAGACCTTGGCAGACAAGCAGCTGCCAGCTGTGAAGCCTCAGCAGGAAGCACCCCCTTTGCCACCACCTTCTCAGCCACCACCTGAGGAGCAGGAGCAGGAGCAGGAGCAGGAGAAGGTAGGAGAATTTGTGCTGAGCATCATGGAGTTCCCAGCCCATGACCTCATTCAGTTCCCTGACCACAAGGAGCCACTGCTGGTTGAGGATCAGTGGCTGTGGGCTGGCTGGCACATGCTGAGATGGGGGCTGCTCAAAAGCACAAAGCAAGTGCCTGAGCACTTCTCAATCACCTGTGTGGACCCAGCTGTGCCAGCACTCCTGAAAGAGTTCCCCACTGAGATGTTTGAGGAACGGGCTGAGAACTTGAAGCAGGCCATGAGATCCTTCAAGGTCTTCTTTCCAATCTTCTCAGCCAACCACTGGACCTTGCTGGTGGCTGAGAAGGAAAGCTTGGAGCAGAACTCAGGCTTCGCGTGGAAGGTGTATGACTCCCTTGAGCAAAGAATGAAGGCCTCAGCAGAAGCAGAAACAATGGTAGGCAGCCTTGTCGACCCTGAGTTCACCTTGCCTCAGAGAACCAACTCAGTCTACCAAAAGCAGGGCAGCCTTGATTGTGGCTTCTTTGTTCTGGGTTGGATGGAGGAAGAGCTGAGGGTCTCCAGAGGTGAGTGGCTCAGAGCTTGGATTGAGCACACCTCAGCCTTGTGGAGAGAGAGGCTGATGAAGCTCTTCCAACACTTAGCCAAGGAGAGGGCTGTCATTGAGAAAGAGCTTGCGCAGCAAAGAAAAACCATTGAGAAGCAGGAGGCTAAGCAGCTGGAAAACAAGGCAGCAGCTGAGGCCAGGCTGGAGCAGATAAAGAACAAATCCTCAGCAGCAGCTGAGGCAGCCAAATTAGCAATCAAGAAAAACTCTGAGCGCTTCACTTGGCAGGATCTCTCAGCCACAGCAACCAACAAGATCAAGTCACTTGAGCACTCCATCTGCATTTGCTCTAAGTGCAGGTGGCAATCTGGCTGTGCTGAGTGCGACCCCTGGAAGGCTCTGAGGTATCTGGTTGTTCAGGAGGCAAAGGCTGCTAAGAAGATCCCCTTTTCAGGACTGTGGGCAGTTTAGAAAGACTGAGATTTGATACTGAGACTGCGCAGGACCAGAAGATGTGGCCAAGCTTCTGAGCAAGGCTAGCTCAGAACCAGCCTCCAGCTCAACAGGAGCTACCAAGGCTTAGAAACCCCTTTTCAGGACTGTGGGCAGTTTAGAAAGACTGAGATTTGATACTGAGACTGCGCAGGACCAGAAGATGTGGCCAAGCTTCTGAGCAAGGCTAGCTCAGAACCAGCCTCCAGCTCAACAGGAGCTACCAAGGCTTAGCAAGTTTAGCCTCAGCCCGAGCAAATCCAGAAAGCGAAGAAAACAGCTGTGCGTTTTTTTTAGATTTTTCTGGGGGGGCAAAAAACTTGCCACAATAGCGAACCGTTAAAACAGTCACATGATTCTGAATTAGGAAAAAATTTTCTACAATAGCGACCACTAATAATAAAGGAGGTCCAACATTATCCAATTATAGCTGTTCACCTTCGAATATCCGACCGCCACGCTTGGGCCTGCAGGCGTTGGCCCTCATTCTGCGGTATCGGTATAGGACCCCACAGCGAGAGACAAGACTGCACGGCCAAACATTGAGCAGAGTTCTCAATTCTAGTCTTCTCTTGTGCTGAACTCGTTTCGCACCCGGAAAGGTATGCCAACAGAAGGGAGACCCCTGAATTGATTTCCCTTTGAGCCGACCTCAAAATGGTACCGTCAAAGAACACATAATGCAAAGATGAGCTGATGGATTGCGAGCCATGGGAGAGTCCGAGCTTGCCGCTGTCTTGAACCGAAGGCGGCAGGAGGTGGACACACGGGGGAATTTGTACGTCAAGGCGGGGAAGACATGGGAAAAAGTGTCAAAGGGCGCCGCCCCAAAGACCGTTGGTTCCTGCCCATTGCTCAGGAGAATACAATATATATATATATATGTTATGTTCACTCTTTGGTCTTTGGTCTTAAAGGGAAGCTATCACTGGAAATATGATGTATCCACCGACTTCAGCAGGCCGAGGGTTCGAATTTTGAAACCACCAAAAAAACGGAATTGACTCGTCGACAAAGTCAAACACATATACCCGCACACCACACACACACACACATGTATATGTTTCCATCGCACTGAGGGCTCTTTCAAGGGATCAGGCCACAGGATTGAAAGAGAGGCACTTGGTGAACACCGGTGTGTCTCAATATGAGGGATTGCTTGTTTGAGCATGTTTGCAGAAGAAAAGACAACATGTGAAAGTGTCCATAGGCTGAACATTGGCTAATAGGCGTGTTTTCTAAAGAGACATGGGACCCGTTTCAGGGGGTTGTCATGGATAGTTGCCAAAATGGGGTTCTTTAGATCGACTGGCATGCAAGGGCGAATAGCGAAGGAACGCCTTTGAGAAGCACAATATACTCATAGGGATGGCCCACTTGAGCATTGCAAGAGTCAGATTGGTTTCCGCTCGGCTGCCATGAAAGAAGCCCATAAGGCATGCGAACAATGTGTCACTGGCCCACCTGTCACAGAAAGGGCCATTTTTGGCAAACATGGGGACCCTTTAGTGGGACGAGGGGATTCAATTTCACCAAGCACTTTTTGTGGTGGTTCCCTATTCAAATTCATAGCCTCAAGGACCGCGCGGGCCATGCCGACGCCGTGTGGTATGAGCGCATCGAGGGCCAGTTCAGTCCTCGGTCCTCCGACCGGAACTCTGCGATCAGCCGCCTCACAAGCATCAGCCGCAGCTCGCAAGAATAAGTAAGAGAGGTGCAGGGGAATATGCAGTAGGCCCAGGGTACAAAAGGGGCTTTTGTTGGCTTTAGACATCCCCTTCCGGGCGAGTTTGAACAAAGGGCAGAACCAAAAAGACAAAGAAATCAAAACCCGAAATTGCTCGGGAAAGGCGGGGCTCGCCCTCCCGCAACTACCCAGCTGCCCAACGGCACCCTCGTTTTCCTTGGGAAGTGGTTCCTTTTTATTACGGCCACTGGGTGAGATTGGGGTTGTGCAGCACTTGAAACCAACACTGAGATTAAAACATTGTCATAGAGCAAGATGTTATTATTCATGCAGTTGGGACGCATCTTGTAGATCCACATCAGAAAACAGCTACCAGAGAACCGCCCCGGAGGAAGTCACAAAGCAAGCATCCAAACGCATCCAACCCGAAGGAGCCTTTTTTTGTATGACGTGTCATTTCAAGACCTGAAGGCTTCCTCACTTCAGTTCCTGGGCGTCGACTTTCGATCAACCGGTTTTCCAGAGGAGTTTGAAGGAGGAAGCCAGGCTTGGAAAAGCCCTGCAAAGTGCTGATTTTGTGGCCCCCATGCGCTTGTGGTCCATAATAAGAGCTTGGCGACCCTTATGGGTTCCAAAAAAAAGGGTAGCTTGCACCAAGGAGAATGCGAGCATCCGAAAGGAACTCGTTTGTCAGAACCCATGTAAGCCATCGGGCTGATCTAAGAAACCAAAAGGAAGTTCTACAGGAAACCCCTGATTTTGCTGGGGATTGGGCTAGCTTCCTGTAGAATTTCCTGTAGCTGGTTTCTATGAGCTGAGGAATGAACAGCCGGGAGCCCTCCCCGAGTGCGCCCGTCGTGCGGCCCACGCTGACGCGGCGCGCCTCGGAAGCCCCGCCCTTGGAGAACGACCGGGTGCGGAGGAGCTTCCCACGGCGGGCCTCCACGGGCGCGGCCTTGAAGGCGCCGGTGAGACCTATGAACTCCAGGACTGAACCGAAACTCACATGGATTCGCCCTAAAAACCGGGGTCCCCAAGTTTCCCTTTTCGGTGGAATTAAACATCACTGGTTTTGCCCATTTGGGGTGAGCTTCACTTCATGCAGTTAATGTTTTGAGGGGAAATGTAGGGAGCCCTGTACAATGAATCGACACCTAAATCATCATGCTCATTTTCTTCTTTGGTTTCCAGTCCACTCTTACCCGTTTGCCAGTATTCATGGAAATGTGCAGTGTACAGACTTGTGCTACGGGACTACTTTCCTTTCTAAAGGAGCCTGACTGTGTTTGTTCGTGGAAGGGCAATGTCAATGTTGAATTAATCTGGGTTGCCCAAAGCAAATATTGTTGTCTTCGTTTTATTGAGCTGCATAGTTAAACAGGTAACATACATTGGTAGCACGGTGTGGGCGTGTTGGACACCCCTTGAGCAGCTGGCGGGGCCAGCGCAACATACGATAATGTTCCCTGATGAACAGGTGATTTGCTCCGACAGCAGGATGTCAAAATAACATGGTGTTTACATCAAGCATGGGCGAGTGAAGCCAGCTGGGTGGCTGGGTCCTTTGGTCGTGTTTTGCTCCTTCACATTTAAAACTATGGAGCCGCGTGAAAACACTTCGGGCTGTGTTGGCCGAAACTATGGAGCCCTTCGGGCTTTTGGCACGGCTCTGTTAGCCGACGTTCAAAGTACGTCATCGATGATTGTGTCCACGCTTTGTGCAAGTGTTTTCGGACAATGCCAGCTTAGGCAGCTGCTCGAACACGGGGTGGAGAGGTGATGTGTATGCGTGGCGTTCCTTGATTAGCCTGCACAACTTCAGCTATCTATTTTCAGAAGCCCAGCGCGAGCTCCCAGGCACCAAAGCCTAGTCAAATTCCATCCGAAAGGAGCCCATCTTGAACGCGGCCCCAAAATCTGCCAGGAACTGCTCCCCAGTGCGGAGTCCAAGCGAGGCGACGCCCCAGGCGACGCCCCGGTCCCCTCAGAGGACGCCTCAGGCCGGGCCAACCGAGTTGGGTTTGTGGTTTGAGGGCACCTGTTTCCACCACCAGGTTTCGTCCTGCTTTGACACGTACCAAGCTAGGAGCATCCTGGATTGTTTTCCTCTAAACCTTGCAATAGGTTTTGCTTTATTTGAGTAAGCAACTGTCCCAGTTGTCCAAAGCTAGGGTCTCTTGCTTGGCCAGTGTTGGCGCATTTTCAGTCAAGGTCCCAAACGATGCGCTTCTAATGTGCAGGTTTGCGGAGCAAACAACTCCCTTTTTTCTCTGCAGGACGTCAGAAAGGATCTGTTTGTTGTTTTTAGATGTATGTTGCTTAGCTCATCTACCACCGAATTGGACCGGGAGTCTTTCCAAGAAGTGGACCATGTTTCTGTATTTCAGATGACCAAGTTTCCCTTTTGACAATGGCCCCGCAGACGACACCTCAGACAACCCCGCGGTCATCAACTCCCAGGGGTTCGGCGAAGGCAAAGGCGAAGGCGGCGAAGTGAAGGGGCCTGGGGGTTTGACTCCCTGTCAGTTTGACATGTGAGTCAGTGAAGAATCATGAGGAGAGTTATGTGTTTTTTTGCCGAATCGATCAACCTGGTTCATGGACAGCTTCCGCCAGAAGTTGAGAGTCCAGTCTAAGCTGGGCCATCCCCTGATGGTTGATGGATCATGAAGTTGATTGGCGTGGTAGTAGGATTAATGTTGCAGGTGACCAAAAGTGAAGCAAGCAGGGGAACGAATGAGACAGTCCTGACGATGTGCTTCTGAGAAGTAACTCGTTTCGCACAGCTGGGACAGACAACTGGCTACTGGGGGAGACCAGCTTAGACTTCATTTTGACAAGGCCGTTTGTGCTGTGGTCGCCCAATGTTGCACTCAAGTACAGGCCGACAAACAACAAGGTTCAGGTCACAAAGGCTGCAATTCCAAGCCATACTTGTTGCATCAAAGGGAATGCGACGTGGAGCTCTGGTGTTGAGTTGCGTCGTTAAGCATTCATCAGGATTTGTTTAGCCTTTGCCACCTGCTGTGGAACAAGAATAATGCTCTCCGCATGTTGGAGAGCTTGTTTGCCTTTGGGTGTCCTCATTTTGGATGAATCTCGCCAACATACGTTCGGATGAAAGTATGAACAACTGACAATTGCCGCCTATTCTTATTTTGGGGACAACCTGGGGGCCATCCAGATTTCTCAAAATAACCAGGGGCTCACCCAATTTTGCCCTGGGAAAGAAGTTATTCTGGTCCGGGGCTCAGCACCACTCGCAAGGCAGGCTCTGGCCCCAGCGAGGTGTGGGGCCCAGCTGTGTGGTTTCCGCTGTGAAGATCGGAGGTGCGCAGAGCTCTGCAGATGCTCGGATCCCAAAGCTTGTGCCCTCAAAGTCGTTCCCCCCCCCCCAACAAAAAAGTATATATCAAAATAAAACTGAAACAGCATGAAGCACAAGTAGTTTCCACACGCTTAGCTTGTGCAGCAGTTTGGTCAGTTTGGTCAGTTTGGCAGACGGCTTGCCGTCAGGGACACCACAGGTTGAAGTCCCCACTTAACTGCTAAAATTTGAATTTTTGCTCCCCTTCCAACGCCAACCAAGACCAGCTTCGGGTCTGAGGTTCGGGCCTCGAGGCTCAGCCAGGAGCCGTTTGGGGGATATCACTGGCTTGGACTCTGGAAGTCGCTGGCTTGGAGCAGCAGAAACCCTTCGTGGTTCTTCCATTTGTTTGAGAATATATATATATATATGTTTTTTGTTTTCCCTGTTGGTTTTAAAGGGAATCGATCACTACTGGACATATCTTTTATATTTTTTCCAGGGGGCCTAAGCAAATGGAAGGGTCGGAATAGACGCGGAATACATTGGCCCGGCATGGCCCGGCAAAGGTGTTTTAAGCAAATGTGTCGCATACTTGCGAAATCAAGAAATCATACAGTCAAGCGTCAAGTGACTCGTTGGCTCAGATTGTCACATGAGCGAAAGTCAAAGGTTGGTTCACATCTTGAAGCACAATGTTGCTTTGCTTCATGTTTCGGTAATGAAGGGAAGCATGTGCATTGCCTTGGTCAAGTGTTGTTTGCAGCAGTTTCGAAGCAACCAATTGGTTTTGACTTTATTGACGCTGTGTGCGCTAGGTCTAGTCATTCCCTTTGAGTGCTGACTCTGTTGAAACAGTGTGGATTTGATTGGGCCATTTAAGATACCCAGATATTTGTTGGGTGTCCACCAATATTCAAAGCTGTGTTGCTTCAACAAATGCACTGTCCAGCATGCACCCCCAAGGGTCCGTTGGGCGCGGAGGGTTGGTTTCGGCTTTCTTCTAATGGGCTCGGACTTGCGGACATTTGTTGTGAGTCAGGAGGAACCTGCTGCATCTATACGATCTGACAGTGTCGCAACAGCGCGGGTGCTTAGAAGCGTAATGCCTGATGCTTGCAAGTATTTACCAAGGTGTAGTGGCAAGTTTTCAATTTAGTCGTTGCCTTGTTGGGTTCATGCGTTGCCATGCTAGGATGTCTCATGTTGCCTTTGTTTGAGCAGCAGTTAGAAGAGATTGTGGTCGATGTAGCTAAATAGATGCGCAAGCAACAATGCTGAAGGAGTGACCCTGTCATGACATGCGCAGTCCTGATGCATTCTGGAGCTTGACTCCCCAACCAAGCTTGCTTTCAGACGGAACAGTTTGCAGGGGGCTAGATAGTCTGGATCGCATTGGACTTGCCAGAGAGAAGCTTCCAGCAGTCGAGGCAAGCACCATCAGTTGTGAGGCCGGCGTTCCGAAACTGCTAGTCTGGGATGGCAGTTTGGGCGTGTCGGTCCGAACATGTTGGAGAGCCCAAATGCCAAGGGACCAGATTCTCATTTTCCGATTGCAGCCAAGGTTTTTAAGATGAAACCCAAACAGCCCCTCCAAAGCAAGTTCTTGTTTAGTGCTTAGGTGTAGGGGTACAGTCTCAAAGCGCTTTTGCAATTCCAAGAGCCTTACCTTGACTGCTATTGGATTGGATCTTTGCACGTATCTTGGGAAACCGAGGGGTTTTCCATTAAAAACCCACAAACAGGTAGACTTTTTGCAGAGGGGTCAACAGCACTCAAGCTACCCTGGTTGCAATAAGTGGTCCTGTTGACTCGCAGTCACAGATACTTCCATGCTCGTGCAGGATAGTTTCCCCAGCAGGGGCCACTTGGCCGTGGAGTTGGCCATCAGCAGTAGATGGCTCCCGCTGCCAGCTTGCAAGGGCGTGTTGAGCGTGAGCTTCATGAATCTGAAAACAGTGCAGCAAGATGTGTGGATAGCCTTCCCGATTGCAAACACCAAAGTTTCCACATAGTACAGCGCAAGCCCGTTTTGGGCCAAATATGGTTCACCACAGAACAGCTGCGCCTTGGTTATTGTTGACATGCAATGATTCCAGCGCTCTGACATTCGCATGCCACTGCCAAGCCAGCATGAAGGCGCACGCAAATGCTTTCTACCACATGTCACCTCGTGACTAGGAATCCCATTGCCAGACTGCATAGCCCTGCACGCTTCCCTTGGCCTTTGCCATGGACGATGTTGCAGAGCTGGCGCGGGCTGTGGCCATCATTGCCGAGGAGTTGTCGTTGGCGACTTCATGGTTGCGACCTTACCCATGACGAGGTCTCTTTGTTTGGAGCTTTCATTCCAGATTGTTGTCTTCTTAGACTTACCAGGATTGACTGAAACATGTGTGCTGCCTATTCTTAACGGAGTTGTAGACTACTCAAAAAGGTCAGAAGCTCGTCGAGCCGGTTTTTGTCTGCCTTGGTTTGTCCTCTTGCTTCTCCACTTTATCAACAGCGAAAAAGGGCAAGCTTTTGTTCGCCCATGGGATACCTCTGGGCAGCTGACCAATTGCAATGGTCCGGTTCATGGTCCACTGCCCATTTTTTGGGGGGTCTGCCTTGCTTGAGGGTCTGGGTCTGGGTGTTGAGAGGGCCAAAGGCAACATCTCCCGTTTGAGGCTTCTTGAGACAAACCTCCACGGCACAGGACGACCCAGAGGGCGCCGCTGCGCTGCTGGGCGTGTCGGCACTGCCTGCCGCGCAGGCCGGCGGTGCCGGCGGCCCGAACGCCACTCTGCGGGAGGCGAGCTGCTCATCGTCTGGGGTGTTTAAAATCAATCTTGAAGCCTTACTAGGTTTCCCAGTAGTGCCCTTTTACCTTTTTTTCGAGGTTTCCCTACTAAAATCGACTACAGAAAAAAGGGTACCGTATTCTAACCTCTCTACTGGAGGACCCAGCTTATGACCGATGGCCAGATGGCCAGATGGCCAGATGGCCTGCCAGATGGCCTGCGAGATGGTAGTGGTTTTCCTGTTTGCCTTGTAGGTTGAACAACCCAGCTATAGCGAGCGCGCTCGGTGTTGCGTGAGCTTACCCATGAAGAAGGCCTCAGATCCTCAGCTTTGCAATAAGCATTGCAGCATGGTGGCCTCACGGTGGATTCCTACAGCAAAAAGGCTGGAAGGTGCAGCATGTGGCGTACCCTGTTTGCGTTGATGGCAAGGAAAACCAAACAAAACCAAATTGTTGGAAGGCGCACGAGTGCTGGGCCACTATGTTGGAGATCTCCAAACAAGGAGAACTGCCAAAGCCATTGGCCGAACGTTTGGATCCTGACACTTTGCGGATGGACGACAAGTCTTTCCTGACCAGGAACTAACACTGAGTAGTCTATTGATGGCACGTTCCACATATTTGCCCAAGGAAGCGGCCCTGCCAAGATCAGTCCAAGTGTTCAGGACCATTTCGGGTGGCAAATCAGCCACAATCAAAACCCAGGTAGATGAAGGTTAGTAAGGGATGATCTGAACCATAATCGGGTGCAGCCGCCTTTTAATTCCTTGCATGGTGTTGGGTAGGCCATTTTAATACCACACCTGTATAGTCAACTATACGTTTGTCATGATTGCCAGTGGCATGTCCTTCCTCGCATGCATGCGGGCCTACATGTTGCATGGAATGACAGTCTGTTCATTACTGATTGCTAGCTTATTGTTGTTTCATTGTGTTGGCTGCTGGTTGTCGATTATTGGTTGTTGGCTGCTGTTTCTTGCTGAGTTTTTGCTGCTGCTGGGTGTATTGGCCCCTTTTGTTTATCATGTGTGTTTTCTTCATTCTCCCATGTTTGCTTGCCTTATGTGTGTGTGTGTGTGTTTTTTAAACGTGCCCTCATTCTCGTGGAGCCATTTTTCGAGAACCGCTCCCTTGTCGGCGAGGCAACGGGGCCGCGGAGCCTCCAGGAGGCCATCGAGAGCGACGACTTCGATGTGGACGTGAAGTTGGACCTGGCGGTGCTCGGGAGCCAAGGTGTGGGCAAGACCAGTCCCTTGGCAGAGAGCATGACTGCGTGTCTCGTGTCGGCGCGCTTCTTTTTTGTTTAAACGTTTTATTGAGGTTGGTTTGAAATGGAAACCGAAAGGAGCCTTTCTTTTTACGTTCTATTGAGGTTGGTTTGAAGCGGAAACCGAAAGGAGCCCGGTAATTTTCCCGGTCTCCTGTTGAGACAAAGCCCGTATCTGCCACCAGTATTTCCCCGGTCTCCGGTGCGAGACACCCATATTAATGTGCCATGGTCAGAACACCCCAAGTCAGTGGGCTGTCGACCTCTGATTTGCTTTGGACCAATGTGAAGGCTACTATCGAGGGAAGCGATGATCATGACCCACCTTGGCCACCCCTCAGCTCGATCGGAGACTATGCTACAAGGAGTCGGTCTTTTCTCGAGAAAACGCATAGAAGCCACCCGTGTTTGGAGTTCTCTCAAAAGGATGCATGCACAGGCACATGGGTATATCCAAAATGGGGGAGACCTGGAAACGAGTGGGTGCCGTTTGGAGTGGAAGTTCACCAAAACCGTTTCATTGGAATCCTTAGCCACACCGCGGGATGCGCGCCAGACCGGAACGGAGTCAAATGTGTTTCATGATAGTTCACCGTTAGGGATGCTCCAGCAGTCCCTCCTGCCTGCCAATCATCACTCTTCCGCTGGAGGACACATAATGTTTATTTGTTTGTGTTAGGGCACATTTCCTGTCTCTCTCAATTGTATCGGAAAAAGTAATTGCTGGCACCATGGATCCAGGTCTGGTGCGGCGCTTTGCGTCCAACATCTTCCAAGAGGAGCTGCTCGTCTGAGGTTGGGCTTTTGTTTCCAGCCCCCTTTCTGATAGCACATCCTAAGAGCACTGAGGAAATTGTGCAAGCGATTTTGAGGGACCAAAGTTTGGGACCAAAATTCGTGGGATCAAAGTTTGGCGATCTCAATGTAAAGCCCACCGCAGCATCGTGCATGGGTGTGTGAAGCGCAGCCAATGCTTGCAATGTGGATGGGGCAAAAACACTCCATACACAAATGCCTAAATTTTGCAAACAGCTTCGACGTGAGAGGCGACGAAAGTTGTGCCAGATCTGATTCAACCACCCATTTAGTTTGGCCTTCGTTGGATGCGAGTGGTACAGGTAGCCATTGAGACTGGCTTTGCAAGCTCAAGACCAAGTCCCGATGATTGAGACCAGCAGAAGGCCATATTTGGGATTAAAGAGGGACCCAGGCCGACCTCCAGCACGGTTTCATGAAATGCTCCACTTGTTCCCCTGAGCATGGCATGAAGGTACAGTCAAACCTGGGTCACGGACTTTGTGGAGAAGAAGCGATCTTTCAGCGGTGAAGACGTGACTCTTCACATTTGGGATACTCCAGGCAGCAGTTGATCATGGTAAGAACCCGCGTGTCAGTTAAGTGAGCAGAGTAAGTTAAAGGCAAGGAACAGTCCGTGTCAAACTTGGGGGGCGCCTCCAAAATGGTGGTTCGCCCTTTCGTGTTTTTAAAGCAGAGGTGAAAAGCCCTGAAGGCTTAAGGTACCCTCCAAAACACCCCCCCGCCTGTTGGGTCGAGCCCTTTGCCAGCGCTGGATTCTGTCTTGCAAGCCGGCACTGGCACTCAGTGGGTCCCGCAACTTCGATGGCCATATGTTGTCTAGCAGCTCGTGTAGGTGTCACTAAACAATGAGCATGGGGTTGTGTGCGTGTGTGTGTCTGTGTGTTTTCAAAATGTGGCATGATTTACATACTATGTCTCAGTATCCGTTTAGGCCCTCAGATTCAGATGTAGGCAGGACAATTGTATTTCGGACATGCGCGCGTGCGAGCGGCCCTGCGAAGCTCGGCAACATAGTTGACGACATTGGAATAAACAACCTACGAGCCAGCCGTCCCATCGCCCACCGCTTTGTTTGCTGTCATTTTGGACGACGCCACGACCGGCTGCTCTTGGTTGCAATGTGTGGTAGGCTGGCTGGCTCAATAAGAGCGAACTGCTCAATCAATTCCTGCAAGGCATAGAGGAACTGCTGACAGTTTGCTGCTTGAACTCAAAGTTCGGCAGCAGGCATAGTTGCTTTATTTGGGTGGTATAGTGTTTCGACTACAGTGAACACTACCGGATAGCTCTTACTCTCGCTCATCGGCCAACTCCTCCAGTGTAGCCTTTTTTTCACCTTCAACATGCGGCAGTTTCCGTGTGTCTCGCTTGTCCACAGCTGGCCTTGTCCAAGGTTGGATCCATGAGTTAGAGGGGTAGGGGTCAAAAGCAAACCACCAGGGGACCGCAGGTTTTAGTCCATGTTTCCATTTACCAGGATTCCATTTTGGGTACATATTTTTGACCCACAGCCATATTGCGTCCTGGTCGCGCAGGGTCCATCTGTTGAATTCGCTGGTTCTCCCAACCAGCTGCAGGTT